CAGACACGGCGGGGACCCGGGGGAGCCCCCCAAGCCCCTTATTCGGGGCACAAATACAGCTACAGAAGCAGGGTCTGAGCTAGAGGCCCTGAATCCCCCCACTGCCCTTCCCCAGAGACGTAGGGATACTCACGGGAGACGCTGAAGCCGAAGATGTTCTCGTAATCTTTAAGCAATTTCTTTAACAAAGTGCTCTTCCCTGCACCCGACGGGCCGCTCAGAACCACCGGTCTCGGTCCCTGCATGGCTAGAGAGACAGAAAAATATGTGTCTGGTTAGAAACACCCATGAAAAAGCACAGCTATGGATTCCCAGGGGTGCTCAGCCCCACAAAACAGCGTCTATCCTTTACCCTGGGATACAAGTGTCTGCAGGCACAACTGAAGTGATGAGAAATCACAAGCCTAGAGCTGATAGGAAGCGACTGAGAATGTGGGAAATACCGGGGAAATTCAAAGAGCTACTAAATTAGCAAGCTGCTAAAGCTGCAGGCGGCGGGAGCTGCCATCTCTGTACTGCTGTGAAAGATCCAGGCTGGGAGCCCTGAGGACTTGGATATTGTTTTGGAACGCAGACAACAGAGGCCAGCAGCAGTGCAGCAGAACAGCTTCACCTTGCTTCGCTGCCAGCCCCAATTCTTACCTGGGGAACAAATACGTCGGACAAATAAAGGACAGGCATCACTGCGACGTGAACACTCATTCTCGAGGGACTGGGGTTAAACTCATAGGATGTAAGCCAAAGGAGGAGGACACTGGGATACAGCTGCCACTAAACTGGGATAATTCAAGCCAGCTCTGTTCTCTGTCAGCAGGCTTGGGTTCCTCTTGGACCCAAACCCTAAGGAAAACTTTCTCTAACAAACGGGAAATGCTGTCTGTGCCTGGTGGCATCTGGAAACATCGCGGGACATCCACACATGCTGGGTAATGCCAGCTTAACACTTGTCCTTACTGACAGAGGTACAGTCACGGCCGCTTCCCTCCCACCGGGAGAGGCCTCAAGGATTCTTTGCAGGAGATCCTGGCAAGAAAAAAGGGCAGGGATCAGCCAGCATTGCGCGTACGCGGTCCCGAGCCAGGGACGGGATGCCCACAAGATCGCCACACCTCTTGTTTTGCCCATTTACACCCTAACAATACAGACTACGAGCCTATGAGGGACAGTTAAATGTTTCCTATCGGTCCTGGGGTAAATGTCCACAGGCAAAGCCTTTACTGCAAGCACACAACGTACTGAAGCCTAGACCCCCAGGAGGGGCAGGAGGTGCTCCAGGCGCCAGAGCAGAGATTCCCCTGCAGCCCATGGTGAAGACCATGGTGAGGCAGGCTGTCCCCCTGCAGTCCATGGAGGTCCACGGTGGAGCAGATCCCCACCTGTAGCCCGTGGAGCACCCCATGCCGGAGCGGGTGGATGCCCGAAGGTAGGAGGCTGTGACCCCGTGGGAAGCCTGCACCAGATCAGGTTCCTGGCAAGCCATTGCAGACCCGTGGAGGGCAGGAGCCCACGATGAAGCAGGTTTGCCGGGGAGTGAAGTTGAGCCCAGAAAGAAGGGAGGGGTGGGGGGAAGGTTTTTAAGATCTAGCAGTTTTTCTCCTCTCCTTCTCTGATTTTGATTGATAATAAATTAATATTTTTTTCAAGTTGAGTCTGTTTTGCCCGTGATGGTAACTGATAAAATGATCTCTCCCTGTCCTTATCTCAACCCATGAGCCTTTTGATTTACTTTTCTCTCCTCTGTCCGGTTAGAGGGGAGAGATAGAGCGGCTTTGGTGGGCCCCTGGCATCCAGCCAGGGTCAAACCACCACACCGTCCTCCACCACTAAGCCCCAAAACCTTGCAACACGGACCTGCACACAGGTGTGATCCGGGATCCGAGCATGCTTTGGGATTTATTTCCATATTTCCTGCAGCACTAACTCCAGCTCAAGGTGCCTCGTGGCATGAGAGAAGGGTACAGGGGAAAAACAAAAAAAGGCAGCCTGGGGCCACACAGACCTTTCTGCAGTTGTTTCTTCAGGCAGAAAGAAAAAAAAAAAAGGGTGTTTTCATATGCCTGCCTCTCTGGGGAGGAAGAAAGGTTAATTATCAACATGTGAATAAAGAAGAAAATTCTGTACGACAGTGCAGGGGGCACCGCTGGGGAGCCTCATCCATCAACCGCAATTCAGCAGCTTCTAAAGCAGAGGTGACGACGAGAGCAGGATAAATCAAACAGGCCTGCTTTCCCTATTTAAAAACAATTACCTTCTGCAAGCAGTAAAGCCCCTGGAAATGCCTTTTTTTTTTTTTTTAAACCGCATCAGTTGGGTGCGGCCTCAGGAGCAATCAGCTGACAGGCAGCCTAATGCCTTTCCATTTTAAATTAGATCATAGCAATGTCACCCTGACCTTACAAATCACTTCTTTTTTTTTTTTTTTTTTTAAAAAAGCCTTAAGCCAAATGCCGTCTCTTACAAAATCAGCCGCGGATCATGCGGCAGGCTAATCTAGCCATGCTGCCTCCCTGACCCCAGCCCGCGTGAGCTGGATACCTCCTCATCCCCAAATCCCTCCCGCCCAGCTCTGTGACGGCGCAGACACCTACCAGGCAGCACTACAGCTAGGAAATTCCACGAGTTTTCCCTCCATTCCCTGAGGATGCTTTGTACTTGTCTGACCAGAGTTTATCCAAGCCTGTACGAGAGGACGGGGTGTTAATACACAAAGCCTAAGTAGATGCCAGCAGCGGCTAAATGTGGGTGTAAAAACACCCATTTAATCACCACCCAAAAGGAAAACGTCGGGTTTTGGGGTTGGTTTTTTTTGCTGTTAGCGTCCTCCAGGTGCTGCAGCCCCAGGGATCCACCAGATCAGATGTTCTCCAGGGGCCTCGGAGGACCGGTCCCACCGTACGCGCGTGGTCACCTTGCTGGATTAGGCTTGATCATCCAAAAAACACGACGAGGCTGAACAAACTCTAGGAAGTCCTTTTGGGGACCTGTCCTACCTTTCCCTTAGGCCTGGAGGTTTGGTGATTTCCAAATATCGCAGGTTTTGCCTAAATGTTCAACAGCGAAAGAGGAAAGCACGCCCTCCTGCACCTCCTCACCAGGGAAATGCTGCTCGGTGCTCGCAGCGAGGAAGCAGAGGGGCCCGTGCTGAGCTGTCCAAAGCATCGCTCCTCTCTTCTGCCCCTTCCAGCTCCCCTCACCCATATAAATAAAACAAGTGAGCCCCAGCCATTGCTAGAAAAAAGGGAATTTAAAGCTGCCCAAATCACTTACAGTCATTTCATTCAACCCCAGACAAACTGGGAAGGGGTAAGAGGAACGGGCAGGGTGCCGGCTGGGAGCAGGCTCCGAGGCATCCTTACCTTTTGCTTTTCTTCCCTTTCAGCCAAGGTATAAAGTCCAGCTCCTCGCAGAGGCGACAGGCTCGCAATAGAAGCCAGCCGGCAGAAAGCCGGGCTATTTGTGAGCTGCCTAAAGCCTTAATTACCGAGCCGCAATTTTAAGACGGCCAATGAAAACCGGTCGCGGGTCTTTAATCTCCTCTCCTCGTTTCTTCTCCACTCCCTGTATTCCAGGCTGGCAAAGCTGCTAATGGGCTGACGGGTGCCGGCACGCGCCCGCCTGGCATTTCGGCAAACAGCAAAACCATCTCCATCTCTGCACTTAACCTCACAGATCACACGGTTCCCCCGTGGTCCTCCTCAAAGGCAGAACATCTCCAGCTGGTGCTCATGCCCACAGACGCCAAGGACGGATGGGCTCGTGGAGAGCATGGACACACGTCGGGCATAAAACCCAGGCGATAAAGCCGCTACGCTCACATTACGCATCCAGCAGTCGCGTGGGGTGAGGCAACCCCTCTAGAAAAATCACTCAAGTCTTGGTTTTAGCCAGGATTTCACCTTCTGCAGACACCGCTCCTCTGCTTGCGGACTGAAGCCTGCGTGGCTGTTGCCTCCAGCCACTGCTGCGCCTCAGCCCAACGATTAGGCAACTTATCCACCACGAAGGTGACAGGGACATTCCTCTCGCCCACGTCGATCCGAACCCAAGCCTCCAAACAGAGCGTCCCAGCACCTCCACAGTGGGACCCTGCCGGGTCTGTGCCATCCTGGTGCTGGAGGTGCCTTTCTGCCTGAAAGAGCATTGGTGGGGCGTCAGGGGAAGACAGAGACGCTCTCCTTTACCTCACTCCCTTTTTTTCCCCAAAAAAGTACTCAGAACTAAAGTGGGAAAAGACACACGGGCTGCGATCACCAGTCTCACTTCTCTGGGAAACGGGCTAAAAATAAACCAAGAGACTTGCAGGTGTTTCCTCTTGCCTCCCTCCACATGTTTCCCTTGTCTTTTGCTGGAGATCTACAGAGGAAAACAAGACGTAATT